TCGTTACTGATCGATTAACTCTATGTGTATATTTAATCTGAATATACACATCGAACAGTGGTGTCTTGTGTCTTTTGAGGCAATCTGAACAGACACAAGAGAGTTTATCAAAGGCTATTTTGAAGCCATTTTCAGATCATCGAAATTCCTGCATACTCTCTCTCTCTCTCTCCACATTACATTTATGTTTTGTTCAAGTACAAACACTTGTCATGTTCGCTAGTGTTTTAGATATTGAAATGATGCCTTTTCAAAACTAAAATATGTTCTATTTTGGGAGACAATCGCTTATCAATCTCGTGCACCGAAATGGAACAAATCTATTTTAAGAAAATTGTGTTTCATAAAACTCGGATTCTTATTTTTGTTATTATTATTGATGTTTTGAATTTCTGTAACTGTATCATTTCTATTTGAAATACAGTCCGTTTTAAAATAATTAGTTTGCATATAAAATTATACATAGAGATAGATTTGCTACCGTAATTAATATTTAATTGAGATTATATAATGGATAACATTCCCACCCTAATATTGTTGGAAAATGACACATTATGTGCTTAATTGATTTTGTAAATAAAAAAAATGAGTAATTAACAAAAATAGTGGAGTGTTTAAGTATTTTTTCAAAATTTAGATTTGGAGCAATGTGTAAAAATGGTGTGAGTGGTAAAATATAAGCCATGTAGGAGAAGATATTTGGAGAAAATCGATGCCTTTTTCGTTAAATAATTTAAAACAAAAATTTTAAAAGAATGTATAGGATAGGAACGGCTATTCAAAGTTATTCCCTCTACAATTTGAATGCCACAATGCACACTAGCACCAATCTCGTACGAAATTCCGTCTCATCCAACCTAATTTTAATATTATAGGAAATTACCCATTAAACACATCTCACCCTAGCAGATCTAGATAATATGAAAAATTACATATTGGGTTCAACTAACTTTCTTTTTTAAAAATTTAAATGAGTAGGTATGTGAACAATAATGATGAGTGATTACACGTAAAAAGATCATAAACTGATGGAATTAGTTGTTTATGTCCTTGGGACGTTGGGAAGTGGGGTATAAGAGTTCAAGTTGGTCACTTCTAGGGGTGGGGTGGAGCCGGGAATCTGAACGAGGGAGCAAAATATAATTGAAAATAATTCATTAATTGATATTAAAAAAAGTTGAGTACAAAAATAACAAAATAGATCAAGGTTTGAGCCAAAATTACTAAAATAATAAAATTAATTTTTATTTTTCTTAAACAAAATTTAAACAAAAAGACACAAAATAGATTTTTTAAATATGTTTTAATTATATGTTACAATAACATACAACATCCATTAAAATTCCTAATATTTTTAATATTTGTTTAATTGTAAGAGCGGAAATTCTCATTAAATTCTTACCGATGCGCACAGTCATATAATTCCATAGTAAAATTATTTTTTAATAATTGTAAAACCTAATTGAGATGATTCTTAAAACTTATTGAAAATTTTCATATTTAAAATAACATAAAATATTTATGGTTTTTAACATGCAACTTTTTTGCATCCAATCCTATTTTATTGACTATAGATTATAAACACACCGAAGAATAGTAAATAATATAGAATAAATTATTATCTTTTTTGTTTTCAATATATAAATATATCACAATATTTACATCAAATTTACTCACTCCAAAAGAAAAAAAATTGTTTTAGGGGAGTAATAGACCACTAATTTATTTAAAAAAAAAAAAGACTAATACTTGAATAAAACTTTTCAAAAATTTAGGGAGGACAAATGTAGTACATTGAATAACATTATGGGAACCTAATCAAAGGTTATTCAAAAATGAGGGGGAAGTAGCAAAGTGGCTCCGCCTCTGCTTACATCCCATTTCTCATTACTTGACAAACCATTACATGGGAGTAATCAAGTGTTAAGTAGTTACTGAATCAAAGCATCTTTTTTTTCATTAGATAAAATAAAACTCTTAGACAATTAAAAAAACAAATGAGAGGAGAAGCCCCCTCTTTCCTCAATTAGTTGTAATAATATATAATATTAATATGAACAGTCTCAACTGGCTGCCGATGAACTCCACCATAAACTAACTTGACTTCACTGATCTATGCTACTCAACCCGTTGGAAACCCTCCAAAATACTTAAATTATCCAACCCGGTTTGAGCAAATTGGCAGGTTGCAGTTTACTATTACCACCTCTACAACTGAGGGTTTATAGGAGGACTGGAACGGAGCTTTTGCTTTAAATTTCTTGGCGTCTTTAAATAAAAACAAGAGTCGCTAGTAAAAAAATTTGGTACTTGGTAGGAGGGGATTCCCCTTACCCTGTTGGGAGCCAAGACCTGAAAGAAGAAAGGATAAAAAAGAAGAGAAAAGATGACGTGCCTCAGACCCACATCAGGCATCTCCACCTCGTTCCCAAAGAAAATCGTCCATATTTACCTCATGACCTGGATTCTCCTTTCGTTTCTGTCCGAATAAGAATTCCAGTCAATATAACAACCCCTTTGCATACCACATACACAAACACACGCATGCTAAATATTTGGCTTTTCTCCCTTTCTGTTCTGCTTTTAAGAGGTCAAATAAGAGAGAACTTGACAAGCAACTCCCATAAGCTCAAGTACAGACTACTCATAGGACTCCAGTTTTACAACCAGTCAGTTACACTACAAGCAGGTGTCTGCATTGATATATGCTAACCTAATATAGCGACTGGTGAGATGGAACTACCTACTCAGATTCGTTTTGGTGGAATATATTGCACACGCTCATCTTCACATAAATTCTGCAAAATAACAAAAATTGATACTTAACACATAAATTTCAGAAGACAAGACCAAATACAGAAATAACTCAGAAGTAGCATACCTGCAGATCTTCTGGAAGTGCCTCTGAGACTGCAAGCGTATAACAACCAGGGACGAATCTTCCTGCAAAACATTCAATAGGATCACATATTCTGCTCATCAAAATTGTAATTTTCTTGCAGAGATATTTACTAAATTCCTAAATGTACAAAGTGCACGCATTACAAAATTCTAGGGGGAAGAAAAAGAAGGGACGATTCTAAACCTCTAGTTTTCTAAAATTATATTATCAATTTTCAATCTCATAAGGGTTCACGCAACATAGAAATCTAGGGAAGGGTGACCGTTGGATGGTACAAGGGGTCACAGAATACAAAAAACTGGGCAGAAATAGGGGATTAATCCATCCAGGTTAAATGTGACTTGGAAAACTTCAGCGTGATCTGTTTCATTAAAGTGTCAGGGTACAACCAATGAGGGGGAAGTTAACTCTCCTCTCTTCCTCGCTAGGAGATCCCTTCTCCTCCTGGTATTTCTTTTTAAGTTAACGAATTGTTTCTTCACAAATAATAATATAAAATTTATAACGATAAATACTGAACCATCAATTAATCAGAAGCTAGGAAGCATGGATACTAGTCGGGGGGTCGCCGTGGCAATGTCGGACACGTGTCCGACGGTCGGATACGTGTCCAACACTTGTAGAAGTGTCCTGAATAGTGGCTGTCATTTTTTTTGGTTGGATACGTCTCGGATACGTAGGGGGATACTTGGGGGATACGACAGGGTACTTTTGTTATTTTAAAAACTTAGGTGGATCGAAACGTAAAAAAAAAAAAAAAAGGCTAAAATTACGTCGTTTTGGCTTGAAAAAGAAAAAACTATAGTGTCGTTGATCTGTGAACCGACTTCAATCGACATTCGGTGTGTTCGACAGAAAGAGAGAGAGAGAGAGAGAGAGAGAGAGAGAGAGAGAGAGAGAGAGAGGGGAGAGAAGACGAGCAGCTCGAAAGGACCAGAGGAGGAGAAGAAGAAGGAGAGGGAAGAGGAAGGGCGACTCACCTGCGCCTATGATCGCGCTCTGCTATTGCGATCTTCTTCTTGCTTCTATTTTTTTTTTTTTAGATCTACTACTACTCTTACCTCTTCATCTTCTAGTCTGTGTGGAGTGTGGACTTTCAAAAAATTTGATTAGGTTAATTTGATTGGGGATTTTTAGGGTTTTCAAAATTTGGGGATTTTGTTTTGGTCCAGTGTTGTGTTGCTTGCTGCCTTTGGGATTTTTTTTTGTCTTGGTCATCTGTGTTGCTGCCTTTCTGTGCTAGTGTGCTGCTACCAACTGGTTTTAAATACTGAAAATTGCTTTCCTAACTTGCTGCCTTTTGGTGCAGTGTTGTTTGCTGCCCACTAGTCTTCTCTTTTTTGTTGTGCTTCGGTCTTCTTTTTTTTTTGTTATGCTTTCCTAGCTAGCTTTTTTTTTGGTCATCTGTGTTGCTGCCTTCTGTGCTAGTGTGCTGCTGCCTGCTGGTTTTGAAAATTATATATATTTTTTGAATTTTGATCTATTTCAATTTAAGTAATGTTTGTTATTTCTTGTTTGTTATTATTAATGTTGTTGTTATATATATAAAAATATATATAATTATTTTAATTAGCCGTATCCTCACCGTACCCGTATCCTACATTTTGGGATTTTGCCGTATCGCCATGTCCATATCGTATCGGATACGTCACCTGTGTCTATATCCGTGCTTCTTAGATCAGAAGTGAGACAAATTTAATTCTTTTGGAGTCATGGAGCATGACTCCAAAAGGTTATTCTTCAAGAAGGTCGAACCTTTTGATACCCTCTGTACTACATAAAAAGTACACTATGCTGAAAAACTTTTGTTTTACTATTATAACCCTAACTAATCCTATAACCTCAATTTGGTCCATCATAAATTACTGTTTATTTCTAATTATAGCCCATAGGCGGTACCCATTCTTCACAACACCATTTCATCTACCATGGTTCTGTTCACAGACAGATAACAAAAAGTCAATTTGGTTCCAGCAAAGGAAGCATTCCTTTATCTCCTTTTTGCCAGGCCATTTCATAGGCCTTCTTGAACGGCAACAATAGAGCAGCAGGAGGTAGACTCTCCAGGTAGCCTTCTTACAAGCTTCACACGCTTCTATCACCTCTTCTTCTTTTTTAGTGGTGGAGTCTTTTCTTCTTCATCATCATAAGCCAATGATGATGATGTCTCACCGCTTCTTACTAAGGAAACCCATATGGGCATGTCGTGAAGATACCATTTTTGTGATTGCAAGGGAATTTGTCGGAAGGTAATGGTTTTGGACAAAGTGGCCGGTAATATGAAGTGATTGGGAATGGGAGGTGAAACTGTCCAAACCCAATTTCAAAGGCATTTGTACCCAAATTATATCCACCTAAAACCCTCAAGAAAATAAGGTAGTATATCCAAACATCTTTATCCACTGTCCAATTTAAACAGTTCTGTGTGTGTGTTGTGAACGGTGTTCATGTTGTATACATGTTTCCTTGGTGGTTCTGCATTTCTCTTTCTATTCTAGAACATAGTCCTTTTACTATTTGATTATTTGTTTCTCCGCAACACCTATAGGGTCTATACTTAAGAATAATAACACATACAGAAGAACCAGGTTAACTGTTTTGTCAATAGTTTAGCCATTTAGGAAACCCCAGTTCCTGAAATTGCATGATATTAGATTCATATAATTTCCTCAAACTACATAAAAGTCAATTTGTAGGACAAGTTTTAATTCTTACTCATAAGTTTTTTATTTCTTTTAATTTGAAGTTGAATTCACACACCACTAAAAACCAATTTTTTAATGAATAATGGTTTTAGTAATCAATTCCAGGGTAAGGCCAAACACCAGAGTCTATGATATGGTTATTGCTACCCAAATTCTTTTCCACATTTTTCTTGCTGCCTTTATTATTTATCCATTTAACATCCAGCCACAGGTTGCAAGAAAAGCAGACTAATGTGAGTGGTGGCTCCCATGCTAGCGAGTTCCTCCAAAAGAGTTGTCAAAGGTTGCAGCCAATAGCTATCAAATAGCAATGTGCTTGCCAAAATGGAGCTTCCAGTTCTTATTTAGAAACTTTGCCCAAGGTATAGGTTTCACTAATGTGTCTGCTAATGCTAAAATATAGCATAGAACATGTTACTCTATTTGATGGCATACATGTATATCTGCATTCCCTAAATTTGTTTCTGCGTTATACTTTGAATAAGAATAATTTCATAGTATCGAATGTGGGTTCCTGATGGTCATCACTTTTGTTTCAAGGATGTAATTTAACTTTTAGCTTAGTTGTTTAATTTTTAGTTTAATTTAAATCAAATTTGTTTCTGTGTTTGCTGGATTCTGAACTCATCCAGCCTGTAGATCCCCTTCGAACAACCCACTTTGACAACTTGAAGAATACAGTGCTAAGGATTGAGCGTACAGATCAATTTGTTAATAGAGTCACCTGAATTGGCAGTATATTTGTTCAATGGACAGTAATTTACTGGCAAGATAGCTTACATACATCTTTCCCCATGGCCTTCCAAGGAAGAAGTGAAGAACATAGATCGTAAAGATAAAGACACTTCAAAGAGAATTCCATTTCTTAAAAAAGATGAATTATAGTTTAAAGCAACAAACTAGAAATAAAAACCTTTTCATACGTTGAGCAGATACAAGAAATCTAAAAACTTCCCAAAACACAAACGTGGGGCACATGACTGTACTTAAGAATGATAGAATATACACATTAATACACCCCCTTGTGTATGAAAGATTACACACAGGAGAAGGTCAAGTAGAAAGAGAAGCACCTGAGAATGCTAGTTTCAATTCTCAAGTCTAATCTAGCATATATATGTCACGCCATCACCTACTTTGTTCCTCTTAATCAAGATGACAGGAATATTAATTGGGCACCATATAAAATTTGGGATTCTGCACAAAGTGGTTGACTAGGATATGAAACAACCACCCAAACATACAGAGCCATGAATGAATACATGCCATTACAAATACAATGTAATGCCATTACAAAAACAATGTAACACATATAATTGTGAGTTCACATGTAAATAATCCAGAGAACAAATTATAAGTTCATGAATAAGTCCCTCAGAACAATGCAAAATGATCCCTCTGATTCTTCTTCCAAAGGCAAACAAAGCTTAACAAGTTCAACTACGCCGCGCAATTGTAGAAATCCTACATATCCTAGTTGGAAATTACTCCGATATGTCACCTACACTACTAACATCCTATTGATGCATGAAATTCTGTAGCATCCTACATCCTACACTACTTATTCTACATCCTAAGGATGACCTTTTGATAGTTGCACTTTCTACTCATATTTTGCAATACACTACTACATCCTATTGGCATGAATCATAAACAAGAACTTCAACCCTCCAGGGTGCATTTTTTGAGACGTTCAAACAACATTTCATACCTCTTTACTGTGTCAACATTACTTATTTTTGGATTAGATGATGCAAAATCTACAAATTCCTTTAGCTCTCAACTTTTTTGCGTGTAGTGATTAAAGGAAGTATAGATCCCAACATCAGTATTTCTTGCAAAATATTCTCTCTTTGAATTTTTCCTACCCTTCTTATATGATTGTGTAACGTAGAAAACATTAAGTCCTACTCTTCCAAAACCTTCTGTCTAAAACAAAAAGACCTAAAAACAGGGCCAACAAAAGTCTCAATTTTTTTCTGTGTCAACAACTCTTATTTTTACACTAGATGATGCAAAACTATATATTCACTCTAAAATTGTGTGTTTAGTGTATAGTCCTGAACGACAATATTTCTTGCTAGATATTTTCTCTCGTGATTTTTCCCTACACTTTTTATACCATTATCTTTTTTTTTTTTTTTTGAGTCAAAGTTTTATACCATTGTCTAATGTAGAAAACTTGCAGTCCTATTCTTCCAAAAGCTTTTGACTAAATCAAACCGTTGTAGGAAAGTTTACTAATGTAGATGTCAAGATTCCATTGAGCCCCCAAAAGGTTTTTGGGGAAAGTGGTCAGTGAGAAAGCTTAGTTAAAGTGAATGAACAAGTTTATTCTAAAGCTACTGAGTTCTTTCCTAATCCTAGTATTCAAACCTGAAAGCTCCATGTTCCTTGCCTCCAGTGTTGTGTGTAAACAAAATGGTATAATGCAGTCTGTGACTTGATACAAGAAAAAGTTCATACAAGGAGAAAAAAACATGAAAGCATGGTGTAGGTCAATGCAGTTAGATAATATATCATATTCATTAAAGAGAAAAAATAATAGAGCCTAGTGAACAAAAGTGGAATGGATTTGAGCCCCAACGGTTTCCAGAATGTCATTGTCATGATGTTACTCCAGCTTCTGCAACTACGGCATCCACATAGCTCTGAATACACGCATTGGAGCTCTTTGCTCGATGTTCCGAGTAGCTCTGTTGTAAATTGCTGTTTTGTCGGGCTGTACCTTATTTCTAACGCCCCTTACTAGATCAAACAAATAAAGCTCCATTGAAAGAATCAACTTCTCCCTCTCGAGCAAAGGTCAATAATTCGGGGAAAATCCAATCTCAGTGATGTTCAAAAAGGGGAAAAACCTATTTGAGTGACCCGTGTTAGCTCGTTTTGGACCACTTTCTACTTTTGAACCAGTTCTCGACCCTGAGTGTAGCGACCCAAAGAAAGGCACACTGGCAGCACGTAGTCGCGGCTGACTCAATTAATGTATTAGTGCTTGTTCTATTAGACAACAAAGAATGCATTTTTTGACTTCGTTGTACTGGAAAAGTAATAAATTGTTGCAATTGGATTCACAAATTCAAAAAGGGCTTACATTACGAAACCAAGGATGTATTTTCTGCTATTGAGTAAATGGGAATAGAACTTACCATGTTTTTGGCTTAAAATACAACTTTATGGGATTGACTTGCAAACAAAAAATGTAGAGTCAATCCTAAATTGGTTAGTACCGATAATAATATTTCAGTATGGACTACTTTGTTCTACCTTGACCCAATGAAGTTGAAACTTAACCAAAAAAATATTGTAATATTGGTATGGTACAAACTCTTACTCTTTTGTGTTTTTGATAAAACTTGAATAGCATACATATTTTTTTATCTTTTCTTTCTGTCTTCTCTTTTTTTTTGTTCATATTCTAGGGTTATGTTTCTAATGTTATTGTCACTCTACTAACTTGTTAACAGAACACAGAGAGTAGCCCCAGTGGTGAAAATAGTGAAGGCAAAAGTTTTACCTTGTCACAGCTGGTATGCATATTTTGCTTGCTTTGACATTGTTAGGCTTATAATGGACACCTATTACGACAACTTAATTTGGACCACTTTGTTGTTTATGCTTTTCTATGATTGATGAATTTTTTTGGGTTAAATATCGTTGATGGATTTTGTATGACTTGTGTTAGCATGTTTTAATTTTCTGTCGGATGTAATAAAGGTTGCTTGTGTTATTCTAATTTTTGTGTATCTTATTTATGGATACATAACCTCACCAACTTGGCTGGTTATGATAGTTCTAAGGTTGAAACTACAACTATGTGGCAAAAAGAAGGATCATATATGAATAGAAGCCGGCTAACTTTTGCCACTGTGAGGCCTCAATCATTGTCATTGTGTTCAGTGAACAGTTTTGGTCAACTAATGTCTTTCTTTAGTTATCAAAAAAAATTTGACTATTGTCCTAAGAATTTACCATTCACAAACATTATTTTACTTATTGTAATACTTCTTTGTGAGATGATAAACAAAACTTTTAATTGTGCTGTTAGGGAAGTTGCATTGGATTGTATGGATGAAATAAAGAACAATGTATTTGCACCAAATACTCTATTCAATATTTTCTTTAGTCAGTATTGTTTGGAATTTTCTTAAGAACGTGAGTCTGAATGGATGATCATTCAATGTTGCTAAAGATGCTGATATTGAGAAAATGCGCAATGATTTTAATGCACAATATTTTATACTCAAAATAATTCACGTGCATGTGTACACCAACTAGTACTAATTATGCTTAAAGTGCCCATATATATGCAAGTCTGTGCATGGGCTGTTACGCATTGTAACATAACTAATAATGACATGATTCAAAGGAGAAGACATCATACTTGTCTGCAGTGGTGTGCTATGCATCAAGACACACAAACGAATCTATTGAACATTTATCCTTACATTGTTCTGTTGTGTTGTCTTTAAGGAATAAGTTGTTTAATATGGCAGGTTTGAATTTTACTCCTCCTAGGTCATTCTCCTCTTCGTTTGTTGATGTCTTTGGTGACTTTGAAAAAATCAAAAAGCAAATGACACTATGGAATTGTGCGTGCTATGCTATTATGTGGGTTATTTGGTTGGAATGGAACGAAACATTTTTTTGTTATAGATGTGAGGTGGCGATGGGTTATGGTAACAAAGCTGCTTTCTAGCATCTTCTTGGGCATTTTGTTGCTAAGGAGTTTCAAGGAACTCCACTAGTTTTCATATTAGCAGGATGGAATGTGTAGTGATTTTTAGTTTGAAATCATATGTATTTTTGATGCACTATGTGATGTTTTGGATAGATGACTTGTCCGTAAGGGACAATTGTGAATAAAAAAAAATTACCATCAAGAAAAATGAAGTATTCTCACTATGTTATAAAATCATGGTGCCATTACGGATTAAGAATCAAGATTTAAATTTGCACAGAAAACTGAATTGGGAAACAATCAAGCAAGGAGCCAACATTTGTCAAAATTTAGCTACAGAATACTTCATAGTTCAAGAACTAAATACAAAATACACAGGGACAGGTTCACTAGTAAACAGAAACACCATTTGAGAATTTCTCAAGGGAAAAAAAATCCATTAGTCACCATTATAATCTTAAACTTACCAAACAATAAAAACTAGCATTTATCAACAAGATAGTATCCAATACTCTTAATTAAATACCAAACAAGAAAAGTAACTGCACAATACCATGCCAAGCTCCCTAACAATTAATCATGGTTAGTTCAATTATTTTTCATCCATCATAACCAAGGGAAGAGCCACAATTACAATTTTTTTTTTGGTGGACTCGATCACATTCAAGATCAGGAATGTTGGGAATCCATATCATGCAAGGAGGCATTGCTTTTGCTAATTCGAATTGAAGGGTGATATAAAATCGGGTTATTTCCGGCATCATATCCATAGTTAGCGCAATTCATCATAGTTATCGGTTACAACTCCATATCTCCGTATCAAGATCACGATCGATATCGTCATTAGCATCAATTATGGGGGGCACATGAATTAAAAAATTGACCAATTTATATATAACATTTCTAAGTTTAATTCTGAAAAATATATTGATTTAAAATTAAATTAGGGTGAATTATACTCGGCACCCTGAATGATTTAGGAATTCCCACTTTACACCCTTAAAGATTAAATTTTTCATATTACACCCTCAATGTATTAAAAATATCACAATATAGTCTTGTTGTTAGCTTCCATTGCTCTTGCTATCAACGTCATTGGGGTGGTTTTGACAAAAAGAGAAATAAAACCTAAAGACAGGACCACATTGTGACACTTTTGAGAGGTGCAACATAATAAATCTAATATTTGAGGATGCAAAGCAAAAATTCTTAAATTTTTCAGGGCGCAAAGTGTAATTCCCCTATTAAATTACAACCTGGAAAATAAAACAAGTATCAATCATATATCAAAGTGGAACAAGAAATTCTTTTAAATCCCAAAAATCATTTATTTCCAATGTTCTGTTCAAAATAAAAAAAGTATATCCTATGCTAAATTTTTCAGCAATTTCCTTTCAATGCATCCAATCAAAGAGTCCATGATAAAGACATCCTTCATTTTGTTGCAAAACTTAATTGAGATCATCATCCATCATGTTAAAAAATTGATTATCGGCAAAATTCAATCTTTTGGTTTAGGACATTTCACCATTTGCATCTAATCGTGTTTGAATGGCCACTAAATTATCAAAAAAAGAGTTTGGGACAACTATCCATTTTTAAGAAAAATAGGAGACAACATATTAAATAAATGAGAGGATTATCTTTAGCGAATATATATGGGTCCAAGAATTTCACATTTGTTTGACGTGGTCTACAAATAAAACATTGTTCACTATACCAGGAAGGCAATGGGCCACAGATTTATAGAAAAGAAAAAGAATTAAGACCATCATACAAATTTTGAAAAATTAAGGGAGCCAATGTATTAAATTGAGTAAAATCATGACCGTTTAACACTATGCATGGAAGTAAATATGGAAGGAAAATTCAGATCGCTTGCATCAAATATGGCTCCGCCGCTGGTCACAACTTTACTAGACATCTGAATGAACGCAAGCGAGTACAATTGCGTGAAGCAGAGGGTAGGTATAATTTGCATGTCAATCTCAATACTGAGTATTGTTTAATAGTACTAACTACATATTAATTTCCAACACACTATTGGTCTCATCAATAAGTTTAGGTATGCAACTTCAAAGCACAGATCTTTAGCATTAACTAGTCCTAACCTATAAGTTGTTTATCTATCAACTGATAGTGCCTAGAACTCTATTTTAGGCCATTAGGTTGTCATTGGCACACAAAATTGGGACTTTCCATTAGACTTGGGTTACCATATTCCAATTCAACATTTGGAAGTGCTTGAAAATTCGCCCTAATACATTATTCCCCTTATCTCTAACATGAACCACACTTCAACTCTACATCCAAACAACACCATCTTCAAAACATCCCTTACTCCTCACTCAAACAATGCCAACCTTGCACCACAAATCGCCAACCTTCTTCTTCATTTCCATTGCTCTCCCACTTAAACACGTCAACCGTAGCAATGTTGAGAAGCCCCCAATCTCTTCTTAAATCGATCTCTCTCTCTTTTTATTTCTCTTTCCTTTCTGAATAAGATCACCCTCTCCCCCTCCCTCTCCCTCTCGTTCGAACCTTCTTCTTACCTACTCTCTTTCGATCTTGTCAGCCCCTTCTCTCTCAGATTCGATTTTTTTTGTCCCTTCAAATCTCAAATTTGCTTCTGACCGTCTGATGGAGCAAAGATATGAGAGAAACATGTATTCCATATCTCATCTCATCTCATCTCTTTCTCCTCCTCCCCCTGGGCGTAAGGGGCTCTCTTTTCCTCTAGCACCTCGTCATAAGCCAAAGAAACTCTAATTTGGTTGCATGGTTATTTGCTGCATTTTGAAGATAAGCAATTTCAATACCTAGTTTTTAGAAAGAGCGAGGATATAGTTTGTGTTTGAGTATTGCGAATGCAGCGTGTCGAGGCAACGGTCAATTCAAGAGCAGTTCAAGACAAGTAAACCTCAATTTCTTTCAGTATTGGTAGTACCATTGTAAGTCTTTTGAGTCAATCAAATAGTGGC